CTGTTGTGCAAATGAGAAGTTTTAAGAGTGTGAAGTAAGACAGAGGCAATGATAATTAAAGATTGCTGATTAATGAGACTAAGAGAGAATTAATGGGTTTTAAGATGTTGGGAGAGAATAAAGATTTTAATTAAAACTCATTAGGAAAATAATAAAGAGAAGATAAATCAGGTGATCTATTTATTGTACTACTGCTTTGGGTATTTACTAGGCTTTTTTTTTTTTTGGCAGGGTACTGAAGATTGAACCCCCAGGAACCCTCTAATACTGAGCTATATCCCAAGCCCTTTTTATTTTGAGACAGGATACTGCTAAGTTGCCCAGGCCAGCATGTGTGTGTGTGTGTGTGTGTGTGTGTGTGTGTGTGTGTGTGTGATTACTATATATATGTGCCTAGTTAGTATCTAGTTTTAATATTGCCTATATAGTGATAGATAGGTAGGTATGTGGGTAGGAGGTAGATAGATAGATAGATAGAAGTGTTTTAACATTTCCTAGTAACTACCATGTTCTCTGTTGAGGATATGAATATGTCCATGTTTTCATAATCCAAATGAAAATCCAAAATTTAAAGCAAACATTACTTTTGTTCTCAAGGAGAGAATAAATACCTACAAATTTCTATCCTGTCTGATATCTCTTTTGCAGCTTCAGATTTTTCCATTTCCTCAATTTTTTCTGCTTCTGATAAAAAGAACAGGTAAAGCATTTCTGCAGAAAAAAAAAGTCTATGAAAGCTAAAGATTTCACAGGCTGGGCTTCCACAGACATTTGGTTGTAATTTTAAGAGACATTTAAATTTTTAATTTATTTTTCAGCATAGAAGATGCTGCCAGCTTTTATATCTCTTTGGCAGCATTTCCCTCTTTAAAAGCCTGTTATGTTCCACAGGCATTTCAAATTAGAAACAAAGCTTTTAAGACTTCAAAACACAGCTGCTGGGACTCTCACCTTGGAGATTATAACATAAAATGGTAAGCAAAATATAGCAAGTAAGATACCTTAGTTCTTCAAGGTTTTTCTTATAGATTTCCTCAATGATTATAAAAATATTGATTTTATGAATAAAAGATTGTTTTTCATTCACTGTCTGTAAGTCATTTAGTTTTATGATGAGTTTGAGGTCACGCTATCCATTCAGTCATGTGATCAGAGAAATTAATGGAAAAATGCTGAAGATGCAGTTGTGCTATTTAATTAATTCAATTCATTAAATATATCTAACTTCCTTTGTCAATCATTACAGTAATATATATGAGTCTATTATATCTGATTTCCACTATCTTACAGGTAGAAGAATTTCTCAACAACAATGAAAAAATATTCAAAGTATTCTAATGAAGTCACTCAAAATGCTAGGGAAGAGCCAAATTGCAACTGTTTAGAAAAATAAGAAGGTCTTTAAGTGGGTACTTAAAAGTATACAGGATGACACAAGTAAAAAAAAAAAATACTGGGATCGGAGATTCCAGGAGGGGAAAAGAAACAATAAAACCTAGTAAAGAAGTCAGAGAAAATCAGATATATCGAAGGCACACTATGTGGAGTAATTCATCACCACAGCAAATACAAATGGGAGATAAACCTCAAAAGACTGGAGCTATTTTGAGACATTATGGATGACAAAATTGAATAGTTTGTGTATATGGAAAGCTTAAGTTGGAAAAACACATTATTATAGATGTTAGGTAGAAGACTGATATGGCACCAACATACATATGGATAAGAAGAGGAAGAACCTGTAGCTAGGAAAGCTCACATTACAATGTTCTAAAAACATGTAAAGGGTGAACTAAAATGAAAACCATGGAATTAGAGATGGAGGGCTGCTGTTCTCACCTGTGAAAAATAAACATCTTAGTATTTGAAATTTATCTTTCTTTGAGGAGCAAATTCATGAATATTTCTACCACACAAGAAAAATGATGAAAGAATAAATGCTTTGTGATTGTAATCAATGCTCTAGAGAAATCTTTCAATATATTGGTAAAATAACATGTATTTGAGAATGTATATTACTATTTAGAGGTTAAGTTTTAAGAGGTTTATGTTTTTGTTAAATACATACAAAGTTCTTTTTTCTCTCCTCTGAAATATATGAAACTACAAATTCTTTAACTGCTGGTTTTTTTTTTTTTTTTTTTTTTTTGTTGTTGTTTTGGTTTGTTTTGTACCAGTGATTGAACCCAGGGGCGCTTAACCACTGAGCTACTGCCCCAGCCATTTGTTTGTTTGTTTGGTTTTAAATTTTGAGACATGGGTCTCACTAACTTGCTTGGGGCCTTGCTAAATTGCTGAGGCTGATTTGGAACTCAGGATCACTGCCTTAACCTCTTGGGCCACTGGGATTACAGGCATGCACTAGCATGCCTGGTTTAACTGCTGTTTATAAAGTGGTGATATTCTTATAGTTGAGGCTACTCTTAAAGACAATCTAACCCATTCTCCTGCTAAAGATCCCCAATTTACACTTCTACTTGAAGATTTCTTGCTCCAGATATATTTTTAATTGGCATACCTGAAGTAATAATTAGCAATTTTGAAAATGCACTGTACTGTATTATGCTTTTGCACAATTCCTTTGGTTTGTACCTGGGACATGTAGTAATGCTAGGTAGAAATCCTATAAGCAGGCAGATTCAGAATCATCAATCTCAAAAGAATACTTAAAATTACTTAGCAAGGCAAGATTTCAGTCCCAGGCTTGCTCTCCCGTTCTTGGTAACAACTATTTTCCATTTGTTTCTCTCAGTCTTAAACTTGGACTAGGTCACTCTTTTATAGGTTTTAACAACTTGCCATCACAGATGGATAGGTGGCCTAAATGAAATAGTTCTGTTGGAACCATGATGAACCAGACAGAAACTACGCAGCCAATGGGGAGCTGCAGTTAATTAGTTCATGTTGTCATGAAATTATGTTGGCTTAAGTTGCCAGATACAACCAGGGAATAAAAAAACTCTGTGTACAGAGTGTGTGTGTGTGTGTGTGTGTGTGTGTGTGTTTGTTTGCACATAAACACATGAAAGATAGAAAAATACATATAGATATCTCTCCTGGGTTTTAAATGTCAGAACCCATTTTTAAAATGCATACATGCTTAAAACAAACATCTCCAGTCCAGGTAAGGCTGAGTCACTGCCAATTCACTCTCTTTACAGAAGAGATCTGGCTTCTTTTTATCTCCTCAACTCCTCAACTTTATTTTATTCTTAGCTCTATAACTGAGCTTCATTGATCTTTATTTTCTTGGAATAGCTCATTAAGCCCTTCTTCAATATAACACTCTTCCTTTCCTGCATGCTAGCCATATATAATTTTTCCAGTATCAACAGGTGTGATATCTAAAATCAGGTTGGTTTCCGCATTACAACATTTATTATCTTTTATAGGATCTCATTTTTTACCTTATTTTTTTACTTCTGAATACTTACTTAGATTTGTTATTACATCTGCCTAACTTTAAATCCACTGCACTTAAAGGAAATTTAATTCCCTATATTAGTATTACATTACAACATTGTTAAGTCTATTTTCAATGAACCATTCACATAACTGGCAAATAATGGGTCCAAGTTTTAGTAATAATTTTCCTATCATCTTTTACCATACCAGCTGTTTTGATTAGAGAACTTACATTGTCTCCAGATCTATGATTCCTATTGTGCATACATTATTTCAGTTAATCTTCTCCTAAACCAATAAGATAAGTGATTTGATTTCCATTTTCAGATTTTAAGATACCTCCTTTTGCAAAAGAAGGCAATTCACGTCAAAGATGGGATTTGGATAGTTTGTTGGACTTTTAGACACTGATTAAAGGACAAGATTTGTAGTCCTAACATTATGAGTTCAAATGCGATTTCCATCAAATTTTTAAAAAGTCAAACAGAGCTTCAGTTTCATCATTTGTAAAATGAAGCTAAAATAACAAGTTTTTACATGATTTTATAAGAAAGGAGGCATGTAAAAAAGAATCACTTAGTAAATTGCATACAATTATGGAGCCTCTAAAGTATAACTATTAATAATTGAATCTGAATTAACTGATTTTAATTGACTTATTTTATTATGAGTAAATTTAACCAGATCTGAGACCTTTTGAATTTCTCTTTGGTATATATCTTCAAACATTATTATCTATTTTAAGTTTGCGAAGTAAAGTTCCATAAATATTTTAGAAAAATACAATTATGTTCATGTTGAAGTAAGATTATAATTTTCTATTTGAAATATAGTAAAATATAGCCTTAAGTCATCTTGAAAGATCCAGGTGACAAAATTTCCTCAGATCTATATTCTAAGAGCTATCTTTTGGTTCCTAGAAATATTCTTTAGGGTATGGTTTGTACTTCACATAAACAATATAAAGAAATAACAACTGTAAATATAAAAATATAAAGGTTTTAAAGTGTTCTTTGGTAGTTAAGTATATTTCATTGTATATTATATACATTCTCTAGGTTGTTGGGAAATGTAATTTCAAATTAATAAAATAAATACTAATTTTAGGATCATATAAAATTAATATTACAAGTTATGATTATTTTTAAGACACACAAATAAGATGTATATGGAATATCTGCTGAAGGATTTCATGTGCATTGCCTCAGTTGGAATTCACCATTGTATGCGATTAATTTTTTACACATTACAGAAGAGGAAATTTGGGCAGACAGGATTGAGCAACATATTCAAGATCAGACAACTAATTAATAAGCAGCAGAATTTGAATGAAAATATATATCTTTATAATATAAATTCCATGATTTTTCACTTACTATATGGCAAGCAATTAATCATTTAATTTCAAAAAGAATGTCCTGATAAAGACAACATATTACTTAACTAGTCACACTAAAATAATGAATGATCAATGGAATCTAGCTGCCATAATTTGAAGTCACCAGGTTTCCATTTCCATATTATCAGTTATTTTTAAAAAATTAAATTCAAATAAACTCTGACAAAATAAAGTATAAAATAATTTTAAATATTACCTAAAATCTGATCCAAGTCTCTTCCCATTTTCTGGTTCTCCTGGATCTGGACATAAATTGGAAGCTGTTTTAATACCTCCCTCATTTACTGTAGCAGCAAGAAGAAAAATAAAAACAAAATATTTATAATTAGAAATTAAGAATGATATTAATTTTAAAATTTACACAAAACTTATATTCTGTTACTATAATCACTATGTTTTTACTATAGAAAATTAAAATACAATTTTATAGAAAAATAATGAAGGTAAAAAACTTCTTCCTCTTTTTATGGACCTATCAGAACCTAAATTTAATATTTATATTCAATGACATACTACTCTGAATATTAACTCGTTAGTATCTAGCACTTTCTTTTTTAATTTCAATCAAATTGCAAGACACATTTCTAGCTTATCAGTGTCAGAGTTTCCATTAATTATTGATAGTACAGAGATCATTACCAGTTATAACACTGTCATTTGGAACTTTGCTGTTTTTTGGTTTTTGTCCATGATTGGGATTGAACCCAGTGGTTCTCTATCACTGATCTTCATCCCCAGATCTCCTTATATTTTATTTTTGAACAGGATCTCACTAAATTGCTCAGGTTAGCTTCAAACTTGCAATTTCTCTGCCTTGTTCTCCCGAGTAGCTAAGATTCTATTGAAATTCAATGTTGGTGGATACTTTTTGTTTTCAAAGTTGCAATTAAAAATAAGACCATACAGGAAAAATTTAAAGTTATTAACATTTCTGTATTTGGTATATAACAAAATAATTTTGTCTTCCAATATTAAGGTAAAACAATGATGTGGTACTAAGCATGTCATTGAATTATGATATAATGCTAGAAACCAAAATAATGGCTTTACCCTCAAGCAATTTCTATAACTACATTTTACATGACTATTGTACAGATTTTCATCGGTTTATTTAGAGCACTCAGTTATTGAAGGCTTTTTTTTTTTTTTCAGCGAATGTGGTCACATTGGATGCTTAAATTCCCAGGATATATTTTTTAATGGGAAGATAATAAAGCCAGATAATTCTGAAATATTTGAGTGATATTGTTTTATAATTCAATCTTATAGTGAACTGGAGAGTATTTCCATAATTTTGCTCCTTTATTAGTTTGCTCTTTTAAAGAAAACATAGTGCTTAAGGACAAACACCAGAGGAAAATTCCTAAACCTTATAATTGTTCTTGTCCTGCACTCTGGATTAGAACCATCTGTAGATCTTTCTTTAAAGATTAAAAATGCATAGTTCTGGCTCTGGATATTCTAATACAATTAGCTTATAGTACAAACCTGGGCATCAATTTTTGTTTTTTAATATAACTTTCAAGATGATTCTAATGTAAAGTTAAAGTTGAGAACCACTGGACTTGTGGATTGTTTAGTTAGAATTGGTCATTGGGTTGACACTAATTCATCAGATAGGAAGACAGCTATCAAATGATAGTCCAGCAGTCATGGTTGTGGTAAAGGTGCCCTCTTCTCAATTAGATATAAAATTATTTTTTCTAATTTTCACCAACAATATCTTTCTTGCACCTTTATTATATACTCACGGATTCAAATAATGTAATATTTTTTATTTTTCTTGGTCCTTTAATTTTTTTAAATTCCTTTTGCCATTTCTGGGGGTTTTGGTCACTGTCTTACCTTAGCTGATTTCACTAATTCAAAGGAACTGGCCCAGAGCCCTTCATATTTTGTATTTCCCTCAATGCTTAAAAACCTACTTCTTTGTCAATGATTTCTAATATAGGATTTTGCATCTTTTCCAAAATTTCCTGCTCCATCAATAGCCATTATATCATCCCCAAAATTTCCAATTGCTATATCATGTGTCAGCTCAAATTCAACCTAATCACTTTGATACTTTTGTGACAACATTATTATTTATCTTCAATCTATCTTGAATACTAGAAGAGGACCGAACTTCCTAAAACAGTTATTTTTTGTTTTAATTACTATACAAATCTCCAATGAGTCAACTAGATTTCTACTGTTTCTAATACTTCTAAACACATATGTCCTAGTTGTTTGATTAAAACCAACACATAAAAACTGTTTTTAATAAACTAAGCATTTTCTATGGGAAGTATTAACTTTATAATTTTTGAAAAGCTATTGATAATACTGTAGAATGTATTATTAAAATGTAACTTTCTTTTAGTGAGTGTTGTAGATGATGAAAACAGGTGGCATAACATACGTTTAACTACTTTAGTATAATACAATATATAAAATGGATTAAAGATTAATGTGCAAGTGGTTTATATACATTAGAAAATAAAATTATGAAAAAGTCTTTTTTCATATTTTACATTTTTTGTATCAAAAAGTAAGACCATGTCAAATATTTGTATATGAATTTGAATGTTAGTACATCCAATTATGTGTCTTCTATATCTATTTTATATTTTAGTTCATTTGATCCTCACAACAATCTTACAGGAAACTACTATTAGAATTTTGCACCTCTTCAAGGCAAGGAAACTGAGGCATTGGGAGGTTAAGAAGTGAGTCAAAATCATTTGCCATTTAATGCCAGAGTCTATATTTAAATCCAGGCCAACCTTTCAGCTCGGAAGACCATCTAAGACATCTCAGCAAGGCAGAAAATAAAGTCATTTTCTAAAATTCAAAACACTTTTACAAATATTTTCCATTAAAATACAGAGAATATTCATGATTTTCACCACATTTACATAATTAATTTCAATTCTTATGAATTTAATTGTCAGGTTATTTCTATGTGTTTGGAAACATCATTTAAATCACTGATTTTGACATCTGCAATAGATGACAGCCTTTCCAAATTAAAATACAGGGATAATGAGAGAGTTTCTGCAAGCTACATGTACTAAGTGTCTGTTAGTTGTAAATGTTCAAAATAAAATATAAATTAATATCAAAATGTATGATCTTTTCTTTTCTCTGATGTTTAGCTATTTCAGAATTTCCCCGGATTAAATGATATCAGACATTCAAACAAGGTTAGTACTCATGGAATCAACTGCTTTCACTATACAATGCCATTGAAATGACTAGATAGATTTAACATTTTTATTTCTTTTAATTTGAGTAGTAATTTGCAGAATGGTAAAAACATCAATGCTCTTTAAAATTTATACAGAGTGTTGTCCCTTGAAAAGGACATCTGCTAGGAGAAAGCCCTTTTTTCTATGGTCTTTAAGAATATTTTTATTATTAGTAATATTAATGAAATGTGCATCTTTTTCTCCACACACCAGTAAAGAGATGAATGAAATTTATAAGATTTTAAAATTGATGTATTTATTATAACACACAAGTATCTTTTGTTTCAAGAATCTTAATTTTTGTATTATTGTATTGTTATTTTATTATTTAACTTAAACACACTATTAGTCAACATCAAAATATAATATTGTTATTATAAACATGTTTTCTAAAGTTTATGATATTATATAGCACACTGAATACATTAAAAATAAAAATAAGTTGACTCTAACTAAATTCACCTCTATATTACCTCTTCTAGCTGCCTACATTGCTACTTTTCTCGTGATTTTATTTAGTTTTTAATATTTATCCTAATTTTTAAAATATTTGCTTTTGTATTTGGTTCTGAACTCAAACATCATGGATGTCAATGATGTTATTTTATACTAATACATTTTTTATTCTACAAAAAATTACCTTTTAAATCATTTAGCATCTCAATATACTGTTATATTCTTCAGGGCTAAGACGACTGTGTTTTATTTACTTCTTAAATTTTATTCTAACATGATGTTGCCATAGAGAAACAATGGAATGTATAAATAATAGGAATGAATGAAAGTGTGGATTTGAAACAGGAAAGAAAAATATAACCATTTATAGGAACCTTATAGTTTCTTTATCCACCTTAATATTCTAGAAGGGGTTCAGATAAGTAGGTAAAAATACTAGCCAATAAATTTTGTTTTTTAAATATTTATAATTTCAAAACTATTTTTTTTCTTGTCAAATTTACAATTTTGAGGATAGGTTGGGCAACTCTTTGTTATTTAGAGTAACAAAGGATGAATGGAGCAACTTAGAGTTCTGGTATTAAAGCTGAAATAAAAACTGAATTAGCTATTCAAACAACTAAACTATCCCTATCAGCATTACTGAACCTTCCTGAACAGTTTGGTCATTCATTTCTCAGTTAAACTGTAAAAAGACAGGTTTTCGCAAATCTGCATTTCAGGTCACCCATGCTTATACTCGCTGATGCCCATGTGTCAGCTATAAAACTTATTTGGTGTTTAAGGAACATAGACTTTCTTTCTTTTTTTTTTTTTTTAATTTGAAAGCCAAAACTCAGATAAAAGTTCTTTCTTTTATTTTGTCCTGTGTTAACTAAAGATCAAGAGATGAAAACTTGAATGCTTACTTGATAATTAAAATATAATGATAAAAATTGAAATGATATAGCCATTTGCTATAAACAACCATATTTTTAAATTCTGTTATACAATACTTGAGAAACAAACTGTAGTAAAAAAAAATTTTTAAATAATGATGGCTTGCCAGGCAGGCACAAAAGTGCACTCCTGTAATCCCAGCAGCTTGGGTTCCTGAGGTAGAAAGATCAAAAATTCAAAGCCAGCCTTAGCAATTTAGCTAGACCCTGTCTAAATAAACAAAAACAAAACAACAACAAAAATGGGATGGATATATGACTCAGTAGTTGAGCTCCACTGATTTCAATCCCTGGTACAAAAAATAATAATTATAATAATTGTTGGCTTGCAATTTTGTAACCATAAAAAGTTTTCTATAAATACTTGGTTTGTATTGATGTAGAAATAACTTATATTTTAAAAAAAGTAAGGAAAAGCATTTTCTTTTCTTTTTTTTAACATGAAGAACAATGGAGAAAGGCAAAAATATGAGGTAAATTAAGCATTATTTCCTTCATATGAACTTTTTGTCTGACAATCTTGAAATAAATATTCAGGGGTTGGTTGGTTTGTTTTAGGTAACACAGTAATACAAATAATTTCCTTTTATTTCGCCATTAGACTCCATAACAATGAAATATATATTTCCACTAAGGCAACATACCAATCAGTATAGAGTTATTCACATCAAATAATACCTTGACAAATCCCAGATATCTTAGTATAGATATATTCAATTTCTCAGAACATCTTGAAGTTGAAAGCATGCAGCACATAAAGTAACACTTGCATAGATAAGTGAGAAAAGGAAAACTAGTCTTATAACTCTAGTTAGAATTCCAAAACAGATATGTGGGTCAGATTTAAATATTGGGAAAATTTTAGTAAACATATTATTTGGTACTATAAACATTTTACTTCCATTTCATATTGACATAATGAAATTTACTATGTTGGAATCATCTGAACTGGCAAATTTTTCTATTTATATTTTTTATTATAGGATATATGCATTTCTTTCCAAAATGTATCAACTGATTTATGTCTGAATCATATTGTAATGTTATTTTCCACAAAATGGACAGTATCAATCTTGAAAATAGGTTTTTACCCTAAAATATATGAAGAAACCATAATTATACAGCTTCATACCTTGAAATAAACTACGTGTGCTTTCCAAACAGATTACTTAATTTGATCAATGATCTCCTATTAATATTTGCTGTTTGGGATTTAGAATTTTCAAGTCTAACTAAAAAATGTAAAGATCAGATATTAAAATTGTGAAACCATAAAATATTTAATAACACAAGAGTTCCTAAGTTTGTTTCTTGATAATTGACATAAAAACTCAATTCATGCCACTTACTATTTACATGTGTAACTCAATAAACACAGGCAAATAACTTTTTTAATAATTCTAATAAATGGTTTTACTTAAAGAAATCGTTAAAATATTTCACTGGGATTTGGAAATGAAGAAAAATACACTTCAAAATATACTTTTGTTGAAGAATCAACAATAGTGACATACATAATTTTCAAAAACTTCTCTCATTTTCTATCAACATACTGTTTTTAGAAGTTATGTACTATAACATAAATGGCTTGTTTCAAAGGTCCAAACATGGATGCAAGTAAACAGGGAGGTGAGGAATTTTTACCAATTACTATTAACTTGTATCACAAACATGTATAGCTTTACCAAAATCATTTTCCATGTTGTTTATGGTAATACAGATGTATGCTTCTAATTCAATGATTCTTTTAATCTGGGATTATGAGATGGGCATCAGATTATCTAAAAACATGAATTTGTGAAAAAAATTGAATATTTCAGACCATGAGATTTTCAAAGGAGTAACAATTGATTTATAAAATACTAAGGACAGTGTTTGAATAAATTATATCAAATTAAGAATACGTTTTCTTAAATGAAATTGCTTTTACATAAATATGCCTTAGAATTTATTTTTTAGAAATTTAGATGTACTCAAATAAGAATTCCTACAGGAAACCATCAATTTTAGAAATTTTATTCATTTTTATCTCACAATCCAGAATTACAAAACTTGACTGTCATCATCAAATGAGGTCAAATATGGAATATATTAAAATACTGAATAAATTTTAGCAAGAACAATTTGAAGTTGGAAAACCCCTGAATTAAAATCCATTAACTCAATAACATTTAAATACATAAAATATAAATAACCATCATGCATGTTATATAAATATTAATGCAGTTAATTTGGTAAATCACAAATATTTTGATAAAACACACACAAACAACACAAACACCACAAACTTCACTCTTGGCACTAGAGAAAGTAACAAAAAAGGAGTACACTCACAGATAGAAAACTTGTTGCTGTTGTCTTTCCCTGGAAACAATTTAAATCCTCTAGATTTAAAATCTATGGCCTTTTTCACTAGTTAAAAAAACAAACAAAAACATGTATCAGGAAATACAATTCAAAAATGAAATTCAAGTTAACAAATTTTGTTAGCATGGAAGTATGCAAGTTTAAAGAAATTGCTTTCTTAAGCCTGTATAGGGTACCCTGAGGAAAATACAAAAAAAAAAAAAAGTAATATAATCACCTAGTAATATAAGCAGTATAGAATTTTAAATATTCTCTAGGGAAAAACCTGCATATACACATAAATATTTTTAAAAACTATCCAAACTTTTACATAAAACCAAAATCTAAGCACTTTATCATAAACCACTTGGATTCACCAAATTGTATGGAATAAATTTAACTAGAAAAGCAAATAATACTGGGACATTAGTATAGCAGAAAGAATTTAATAAACTTGGCTTAAAAATTAAATTAAAAATTTAAATTACCTAAAAATTTAACTTATTTGAAATATTCGGAAGAATTTAAGAAAATAACATAATTGGAAATATTCAAAATACATTTTAATAATTTGGCCACTAATTTCCATTCATTAACATTGCTTTTGACACTATGACTGATACAAAATGTGTGGAAGTGAATCACAAGTATTTGGAATCTTGCACTATTTGAATACTTGCAACTTTCTACTACTTCTAATCTTAGGTATAGAAAATCAATATCTTTAAGATGAGGTATCACATTTTGTACTATATCAAAATAGATATAACTGGATAATCTAAGAAAAAATAAATTCATATTAATCCAGTGGAGTCACCTATAAATTTTTTAAAATTTAATTTTAATATGTTAAAAATATTCTCCAAGTAATTTGGATTAAAATAACTTTTACTTCATTCTAGTTCAAATTATGTAATTAAGTCTAGATGCTACTGGTTTTAAAAACTGATAATATTTCAGAAGACCATTTAAAATTTTAATTGACACCAAGTGAAATAAAGAATATGTATTTAACTAAAATATTGTCAATTAAAAATAGTTATACAATCTGACCTAATTAGATATTCCAAACATAAATTATTTTCTTTAAGAAAAGACATAGCATGAACAAGAATATAAGAAATATATTTAATGTAACCAATTATGACATAATTTTTACATAGTGCTTTTTATGGTGAAGGATAATAGCTTTAAACATATGCAATTAGGGCTTGGAACATGGTTCAGTAGTTAAGAACTACTGGGTTCAATCCCCAGTACCAAAAAATAAAATAAAATAAAAATCATGCAATTAGATTTGTTCATGCTTTCAATTTGAATAAAAAGCAAAACTGATCTTTATTTGATAGTTTAAAATCCACATTTTGCTGATTCTAAACTGTCTTTCTACCAACTAGTTCAAATTAAGGATCTCTTATTGATTATGAATATTTTTGTGATTTTTTTCTTCTTGTTAGTAGCTCCAAAGGTAGAAAGGTAGAGATGGGGCCTGATGGCTTATTGGGACATGTATTTATGAATTATCTATGCATGCTACATAGATTAATAGAGGAACATGAAAACTGGAGTAGAATTTAAGACTTCTTATCTTTGGCAATTATTAGTTGAGTGATTTGCAAAAGACCTCCATTTCTTCTCTTAAAATAGAAAGGCAAAACTAGATAACCTCTTCACCTCTTTATGGTTCAGAAATTGTCTGTGACTCTTATTTATAGTGAAAAATGACTATTGCTCTCTCAAGTGATGCTCTTTGTGGTGATTCTCCACTCACACCTCCATGATAACTTAAAGCATAATTCTTCTGAACTATTCAAATACTCTAAATATAGTTTGGCCACTTCTAAAATTCCCTGCTGCCTCAAATTGCTTTTCTTTTATTTTCTTTTTAAAAATAATTAGCATTTTTATTTCTGTGGCAGAAGTCTAGATTTTTCCATTCTAAAAATGAATTATAAGAAGGGATCTATGTCTATTTGTCTCTGTATTGTACAATTTGACTTTTTAAGTATTACAAATTAGTCTGAAGATTTCATGATAGTTTTAACTCAAATCATAAATTATACAAAAGAATCTTTTTAAAATGATGACGTTGTACAACCAAAGGCAAAAGTTGTATAATATTATATAGGTTAAAAATTTCACTGTTGTAAATAATGTTTAAATAGTATATGTGTGGAATGGAGAAGTATGTATTTGAAGAGAAGGACAGGTTTGTGTGAATGTTTATATCTAATCTGAATTATTTGGTTGTGGTAAGGGACAATACCTGAACATGAAAACAAGTGAATGCTTCAAGCCAAAAGAACATCAACTTGGATCAGTAATTTTGAATTTTTTTTTTCTGGCTGTAACAGGATGTTTATTTTTTTCTTTTAAAAAGAACGAGCTTTACCAGGAGATAGAGATCTTAAAAAAAAAAACCAAACAGTGATTTTAGAAATGCAAGAAACCATAAACCAGATTAAAAATGCTAACGAGAATATTACAAATAGACTAGATCAAGTAGAAGTCAGAACATCAGATAATGAAGACAAAGTTTATCAACTTGAAAAGAATATAGTCAATACTGAAAAGATGCTTAAATCTCACGAGCAATCTATCCAAGAGATATGGGATCTCATCAAAAAACCAAATTTGAGAGTCATTGGGATAGAAGAAGGCACAGAGATTCAAGCCAAAGGAATGGACAACCTATTGAATGAAATAATCCTAGAAAACTTCCCAGAGATGAAAGATGGAATGGATTGCCAAATCCTGGAAGCCTACAGGACCCCAAACATCCAAAACTGTAATAGGCCAACTCCAAGACATATAATTATGAAGATAGCCAACATACAGAACAAGGAGAGAATATTAAAAGCTACGAGGGAAAGGAGGCAGATTACATTCAGGGGTAAACCAATTAGTTTAACGGCTGATTTTTCATCACAGACTTTGAAAGCGAGAAGATCCTGGAACAATGTATTTCAAACGCTGAAAAATAATGGATTCCAACCAAGAATACTGTATCCAGCAAAATTAAGCTTCAGATTTGACAATGAAATTAAAATCTTTCACGATAAACAAAAGCTAAAAGATTTCGCAGCCAGAAAACCAGCACTGCAAAGCATTTTGGGCAAAATTCTACAAGAAGAGGAATGGAAAAACAGTGCCCAAAACCAACAGCGGGAGGTATCTCAGTAAAGGGGGAGGAAAACAACCAAAAAGTAAAAACTAGCCAAACTAAAATAAATAAATAAATAAACATGACTGGAAGTACAAATCATATTTCAATTGTAACCTTAAATGTTAATGGACAAAACTCACCAATCAAGAGACACAGGCTGGTAACCTGGATCAAAAAAACAAATCCAACAATATGCTGCCTTCAGGAGACTCATATGATAGGAAAAGACATACACAGGCTGAAGGTGAAAGGTTGGGAAAAATCATACCACTCACATGGCACTAGGAAGCAAGCAGGAGTGGCCATACTCATATCGAATAAAATCAACTTCAAACCTAAGATAATCAAAAGGGATAAAGAAGAACACTATATCCTGTTAAAAGGAACTATTCACCAACAAGACATAACAATTATCAATTTATATGCACCAAATAATGGTGCAGCAACGTTCATAAAACAAACTCTCCTCAAGTTCAAGAGTCAAACTGACCACAACACAATAATTATGGGTGACTTCAACACACTGCTCTCGCCATTAGACAGATCCTCCAGACAAAAGCTGAATAAAGAAACTATAGAACTCAATGACACAATCAATAACCTAGACTTAACCGACATATATAGAATATATCAACCATCATCAAGTGGATACACGTTCTTCTCAGCAGCACATGGATCGTACTCAAAGATAGATCATATATTATGCCATAGGGCAACTCTTAGTAAATATAAAGGAGTGGAGATAATACCATGCACCATATCTGATCATAATGGAATGAAACTGGAAATCAATGAAAAAAGAAGGAAGGAAAAATCCTGCATCACATGGAAAATAAACAATATGTTACTGAATGATCAATGGGTTACAGAAGACATAAAGGAGGAAATCAAAAAATTCTTAGAGATAAACGACAATTCAGACACAACATACCGGAATCTATGGGACACAATGAAAGCAGTTTTAAGAGGGAAATTCATTTCCTGGAGTTCATTCCTCAAAAAAAGAAAAAAACAACAAATAAACAAACTCACACTACATCTCAAAACCCTAGAAAAGGAAGAGCAAAACAACAGCAAATATAGCAGAAGACAAGAAATAATTAAAATCAGAGCAGAAATCATCGAAATTGAAACAAAAAAAACCATTGAAAAAATTGATAAAACTAAAAGTTGGTTCTTTGAAAAAATAAATAAGATCGACAGACCCTTAGCCATGCTAACGAAGAGAAGAAGAGAGAAAACTCAAATCACTAACATACGGGATGAAAAAGGCAATATCACAACAGACACTACAGAAATACAGAAGATAATTAGAAAGTATTTTGAAACCCTATATTCTAATAAAATAGAAGACAGTGAAGACATCGATAAATTTCTTAAGTCATATGAGCTGCCCAGATTGAGTCAGGAAGACACACACAATTTAAACAGACCAATAACAAAGGAAGAAATAGAAGAAGCCATCAAAAGACTACCAACCAAAAAAAGCCCTGGACCAGATGGGTATACAGCGGAGTTTTACAAAACCTTCAAAGAAGAATTAATACCAATACTTTTCAAGCTATTTCAAGAAATAGAAAAAGAAGGAGCTCTTCCAAATTCATTCTATGAGGCCAACATCACCCTGATCCCGAAACCAGACAAAGACACTTCAAAGAAAGAAAACTACAGACCAATATCTCTAATGAACATAGATGCAAAAATTCTCAATAAAATCCTGGCGAATCGAATACAAAAGCATATCAAAAAAATTGTGCACCATGATCAAGTAGGATTCATCCCTGGGATGCAAGTTTGGTTCAATATACGGAAATCAATAAATATTATTCACCACATCAATAGACTTAAAGATAAGAACCCTATGATCGTCTCGATAGATGCAGAAAAAGCATTCGACAAA